GTGGTTATCAGGGACATTAAGCTCTTTCTTGTATAGTTCTTCTGTGTAATCTTGCCACCTCTTCTTAATCTCTTCTGCCTCTGTTAGGTCCCTGCCATTTTGGTCCTTTATCATGCCCATTTTTGCATGAAATGTTCCCTTCATACCTCCAATTTTCTTGAAGGGATCTCTGGTCTTCCTATTGTTTTCTTCTATTTCTTTGCACTGTTCATTTAAGAAGGCATTCTCATCTCTTCTAGCTATTCTCTGGATTTCTGCATTCAATTGTTTGTATCTTTCTCTTTCTCCCTTGCCTTTCACTTTCCTTCTTTCCTCAGCTATTTGTAAAGCTTCCTCAGACAGCCATTTTGCTTTCTTGCGTTTCTTTTTCTTTGGGATGGTTTTAGTTGCTGCCTCTTGTACAATGTTGCGAACCTCTGTCCATAGTTCTTCAGGCACTCTGTCTATCAGATCTAATTCCTTAAATCTATTTCTCCCCTCTACTGTATAGTCATCAGGGATATGATTTAGGTCATACCTGAGTGGCCTAGTGCTTTTCCCTACTTTCATCAACTTAAGCCTAAATTTTGCAACCAGAAGCTCATGATCTGAGCCACAGTCAGCTCCTGGTCTAGTTTTTACTGACTGTATAGAGCTTCTCCATCTTTGGCTGCAGAGCACATAGTCAATCTGATTTCTGTGTTGACCGTCTGGTGATGTCCATGTGTAGAGTCGTCTCTTGGGTTGTAGGAAAAGAGTGTTTGCTATGACCACTGTATTCTCTTGACAAAATTCTACCAGCCTGTGCCCTGCTTCATTTTGTACTCCAAGGCCAAACTTGCCTGTTATTCTGGTTATCTTTTGGCTTCCTACTTCAGCATTCCAATCCCCCATGATGACAAGGAGGTCATTTTTTGGAGTTAATTCTAGAAGGTGTTGTAGGCCTTCATAGAACTGTCAACTTCAGCCTCTTCAGCACCAGTGGTTGGGGCATAGACTTGAACTATTGTGATGTTGAATGGTTTGCCTTGGATTCGAACTGAGATCAATCTGTCATTTTGGAGATTGTATCCCAGTACTGCTTTTCCTACTCTTTTATTGACTATGAAGGCTACTCCATTTCTTCTGAGGGATTCTTGCCCGCGGTACTATACCTGATGGTCATCTGAATTAAATTCACCCATTCCTGTCCATTTTAGTTCACTGATTCCTAAGATGTCAATGTTCAGTCTTGTCATCTCTTGTCTGACCACATCCAGCTTGCCTTGATTCATGGCAAGCTGATTCATCTTACATTCCAGGTTCCTATGGAGTATAGATCTTTGCAGCATCGGACTCTCCTTTCACCACCAGATACATGAGCAACTGAGAGTCCTTTCGGCTTTGACCCTGTTGCTTCATTCTTTCTGGCGCTACTAGTACTAGCCCTCTGCTCTTTCCCAGTAGCATATTGGACACCTTCCGACCTGAGGGGCTCATCTTCTGGCATCCTATCTTTTTGCCTTTTGGTACAGTCCATGGGAAGAACAGACAGATGCCAAATGACTAGGCATGTTACCGTGGTACCCACAGCAGTTGCTCGAATTCCCAAATGTGCCCACACATCCAGCAAGGTTAAGGATGTCAAATCTCCTAATCCTAGCACTTGACCCCAAAAGCTTTCTCAGTAAAGAAGCCATGTGCCTCCAAATCTCTCGTTTTCTTCATTTGTTAGTAAAGAAACAACACACATGAAAATGTGTTAGTCCACATTTTTATTGGAATTATAGGAGTTGAGGTAGAATTCCTCATACTGAAACTTCTCTTCAAGATTTTAGCCGACATCATCTATGGCAGAGATTGAGAACCTGTAGCATTCCCAGTGTTGTTAGTCTCCAACTCCCATCTACTCTCAAGGTAGCTTTATCAATAGACTGCATTGATGGAAGTTGAAGTCCAACATTTAGCATGCCACACATTCCTCACCACTGTAAGAAAGCATCAAACAGTAGCATGTTACAGTGGTGATGAAGTATATACCCCATTCACACATATTTAGAAAGTGGGAAAATCGTGTAAGATGTTAGAGAAGACAACCGCCTAAGATTTAAAAACAGTTTAGCCTGGTGAAAGATTCCAGTCCAGTTTGGGATTGCTTAATCAATCATGTTCAGCATGTGGTACAAGTTTCCACTGTAAATATAAGGTGGAGGGCAGAAGCTAGTATATCTGCTTAGAGTACAGGTAAGGAATCTTGTGTCAAATTTGGATTGATTACTTGGAAGGTGATGTTCAAACCAGCCCTTAAAAAATGATTCAGGGAAACTGTGATAAAGCCCTCAGTAGTACAACACCAAAGGGCAGAGATGTACAATTGATTATGTTGCAGGCTGTAGGTGGAAAAAAAGGCTCACAAATAAAAATCTCCATTGGACAAACATTTCAGTACAATGAGAGTACAATTAAAATACCATGAGGGTTTCATTTGCTTTATGCTGGCCTGAGTCACGCCAAAGGTAGTCAGATGCTATAAAAAAAATCATGCCACAAAAATGTTAGTTTCTCATTATACCAAGATTATATATACTGTTTACAAATTATTGTGGATATTATGTGTAGCCCCATCCCTCTTATGTTTATTGTAATCTTTTCAGGCATAATACATGAGCAGCACTTATTTTTCAGAATGGTTAGGACTGCTGGGAAAAGAAACACAATGGCAGCCTACCCCTTTAGGAAAATGTAACTAGCTACTATCATTTAAGTGATTTTGCTTCCAACAGTGATTGCACCCCACAAGGAACCCACAGTTAAGTTACATGGCGACAAGAATTAAAAGGCTCCTTGAAAAGTGGGGGGCATGGACATCCGTTAAGCATTAAGAATCAAGGTAGAGAAAATTCAACAAGTAGCACTTTTCCAACACAGAAGCATTGATGGGGAAGCTACATCAGTGGAATTTCTATTTGTCAGACAGGCCGATGAAGGCACAGAGAAGGCTGCCAGGGTACCGAGAAAATGCGGGAGCAGCCCTTGGATCTGAGCGCAGGATGGCGAGCAAACGCGGTTGCTCCTGAAAAGCAGAAGTCCTCGGATGAACGCTTGAGGGAGCTTGCCCGCCCTTTCACCTTGATAGAGAAGATAAGTGCGGCGAAGCCCACGCAGCAGCAGTTGAACGCGGTGAAATTGAACAACGACCACACGACGTAGTCCCTGGGTGGCGGAATGACGCTGCCCCTCACGTACGGGTAAAAAGGCACAGGAGCGCCCGACGGCATGTTCACAGCGTGCGGGAGAGGCTGCATGGCGCCGGCAGCAAAAGCAGCACCTCCGCGCTCGCTCTGGGGCGGCGACGTTGCCGCTCAGGCGCGAAACCCAACGGCGGCGCCGGCGGGATTCTGTCTCTGATTGGGCGCGGCGGGAAAGGGCGCGCGGCTGGCGGTTGGCGGTTTCTTGGCGGGTGCTCGTTGGAGCCGCGCACGCGGGATTTCCAGGGATGCTCGCGACCCGATCCAAACCGTGTTTCCGTTGCGCGCCGTGCGGGCATCGGGGAGACCCTCGCAGGAGGTGGCTGCCTCTGGCCTGATTTCAGTAACCAAGAGACATACGAAGCCCGCGGTGTGACACCGTTGTCAGGAAAATGGAAAGATCACTAAAATGTATTAACTTTGGAGATCTGCGGATCTCGTTATCAGGCCAGAGGTTATTAAGTAAGGAAAAGGACGGCGGGAATGACTTGATGGTGAAGTCACATTCTCTGCATGTTTCGCTAATATAATGCAGGGGTTTTTTTCTGCTTAGACATGTATAAGATTGCACCCTTAGTTTGGTCTTCTAAAAGTTTGAGATCTGGACGAGGAGATTCAAAGAAACTTCCAGAAAATGGAGACAGCTAAGCATTTCGTTTCTCATTTTCCATTTCCCATTCATTGTTACATGGCAGTATATTTACGTTTTATTTTGGAAACAACTCAAAGAGGAAGACAGGCACATATCAAAACCAACTCAATGTGCTCTGAGAGACTGTTAGGAAGAAAATTGTGGTAGGAACTGTATGGCCAGAAACAGCCCACAGCATAAGGTGGAAGTCCAGCACATCTGGACAGCACCACGTTGGGGAAGGCTGTTCTAGATCAATTTGGAGGCAGGCTTATGATTTAGAGTAAAGTGGCTTTTTAATTTGCTATTGTTGCCAATCGCAGCACCCCAAAGCACCCCAAAACTAGTTGGCCAGAGGAAGGCCCCAAAATAGTTGGCCAAAGGGAGGCCACATAGGAAAAAAACCACAGCCATACTGAATTTCCTGTCTCAGAAAGAAAGAGGGATAAGAACAAAATGAACTTTGTGTAACCCACAGCTAACAAGCTCACTTGACCTCGAATACAGTAATCAAAGGGACAGTGGAAACCTGTTATAGCTGCCGTGAAAGTTGCAAATGTGCAGGGAGTAAGAACATGACAGGCCTGTGTGAATCTCAAGCAGATAAGAAATGGACATGGGAAATGTCTGGCCCTTGACAGAAGAAAGGTCTCTTTGAAGTGAACAGCAAGGGGAGGGGTGCATATATTGAGGTATTGATGCATTGGATGTGTATTAGGTGACCTAATTGATTACGTAGGGTATAAAACGCATGTACTGGGGTGAAACTTTTGAGACACTGCTTTGGGCTGCGTATCCCCTTTCATCTCTATAGTGCACTAGAATAAAGCTGGTTTGGCCCTAAGTCTCGTCTCAGGCTCCTTTTGATTCTGGGCCTGGGGTTCACCTGGGCTTGCCCTAGCTGTTGACTGGCTGAGTTCAGTAACAGTTTCTGGCACCCAATGTGGGGCGACCAAGTGAACTGAAGGCAAATTTTGCCCCCAAAATCTTAAGTCTTCTTCCTCAAAGAAACTCTTTTCAGACGGGTTAACAACTGGCTCAAGAGACCTCTCTTTCAGCCTTTGGGCTGAGGCAAATTTGGCCTGGAACCACCACTGGCCGTGAACAAGGCTTGAGGAAAGGTGATTGAGAGAAAAGTGAGACTAAGAGAGCTACCTCTGATGGAACAAGTAATACCCAGGTAAGGAGAAAGCCTCTGTTGGAAAGGGCTACTGCCTGGGGGAAGACCCTGTTCCTAAAGAAAGGCGGGGGGGGGAGCTCCCAGTGCTGGTTAGAGTCCAGCAAGTTGCCTTCCCTGCCTGATGACCGGTGACTCCCAGGTAGAATTGGACCCTGTGGAAAGAGGAAAGGAAGAATGAACAAAAGGGGGTAACTCCTTGGATGCCATGCAAGCCTTCTAGAAACTCTTGTTGGTACAGGTGAAGTGAAATCTAACTTGAGACCAGTCCTGGTTCAAGTCCAGAAAGAGCAGATCCCACCTTAGTGCGTGAGCACTTTTGACCAGGGATGCCTGGCAGAATTGACAGAAGGATAATCAGAGAGGTCTGCTAAAATCCTTCTAAAAGTTCTTCTGGAGACCACTTAGTGTGCATCATGTTTCAGAGTAAGTCAAAACAAATGCTTATGCCTCTAGAATGCATTTTGGGAAAAGTGGGAAAGGTTCAAAGGAGATTTCATCTCAAAGAAAAAACTAAAAGTCTACTGTAATTCTGTTAAGCTCCAGCATTAATTGGATGGTGGGACAAAGTGGCCACCTGGAGGATCTATCATTTTCAGACTCTCCTACAGTTGCAACTTTCCTCTCAACATGCCTTTAAATAGCTCAAGCTCCTGCACAAGTGTTTGTTACATTGACAGCCTGAACTTTCTGGAAAAGTGCAGAATGGTCCTCATGGGGGAGGATGGAGAAGAGGAGAGAACTACCTCTCCTCAAAAAGCTGGTAGTGCAGTATGGATATGGGCTTGGTGGTGGGGGAGGGAACTCTGGGGACTCCAACATGCCTGGGTGCAGCAGTGGCTTCCATGGCCAGGAGGGCATGAATGGGCAATTAATTCCTAGCCAAACTGCTGCAGTTTAGAATCACCAGCCCTTCCACCCATTGGACTGGCTACCTGTAGGACCCAGGGGGAAAAGAAGGGTTTTCATGCCAGCAAATTCTCCCTCACTCTGAGAGACAGCTCGGCTTGCCATGGAGACTCTGTTCATCTGTGCTTCGATTAGTTCCTGAGAAAGCCTTGCTAAGTATTCTGTTTCTTACAAGCCGTAGACCAGCCAGCCTCATTGTTTGAGGTCTGGTGTGGTCAAAAGGCTTGGGATTCGGTGTTTAAACTCTTAGTACCACTATCTACTTCCCTCTTCCTCTTTGTGTGTGTGTGCACATCTGTGTGTGTGCCCTTTTCTGATGTTCAACTGTTACTGAACTGAGCCAGTCAACAGCTAGGGCAAGCCTGGGTAGACCCCAGACCTCTAGTCAAAATGAGTCTGAGACGAGACTTAGAGCCAAACTAGCTTTATTCTAGTGCACTATAGAATAAAGGGAGATGAAAGACGATACGCAGCCCAAAGCAGTGTCCCCAAAGTTGCACCCCAGTACATTCATTTTATACCCTACATAATCAATTAGGTCACCAATACACATCTAATGCATCAGTACATCAATGTATGCACCCCTCCCCTTGCTGGTAGCTTCAAAGAGTCCTTTCTTCTGTCAAGGACCAAACATTTCCCATGTCTATATCTTATCTGCTTGAGATTCACACAGGCTTGCCATTTTCTTACTCCCTGCACATTTGCAACTTTCATGGTGGCTGTAACAGGCTTTCACTGTCCCTTTTTATTACTGTATTCGAGGTCAAGCTAGCTTGTTAGCTGTAGGTTACACAAAGTTCATTTTGTTCTTATCCCCCCTTCTTTCCAAGACAGGAAATTCAATATGGCTGTAGTTTTTTCCTATGTCGCCTCCCTCTGGCCAACTACTTTTGGGGTGCTGCAATACAGCGTTCTTCGGTATTTAGTCATGGCGGCCACATGACCACAGAGACTGTGGACAAATGCTGGTTCCCTCGGCTAGGAAACGGAGATGAGCACTGCCCCCTAGAGTCAGGCATGACTGGACGTAACGTCAAGGGAAAACCTTTACCTTTACCACTGATGTGACTTTTGACTGGCTCCCCAAAACCTTGAAAGAGCCAGACACTACATATACAAAGATGAAAATACACATGCTGGGGCATAACTTGCATAACATTTGCTCTAGGGTTGCTTGCAGTAGCCCAATCCAAGCTTCTCCGAGGGAAGACATCTGTTTCTCTTCCGTCTGGCTTGAGCTGTGTCAAAGAGGTCTTTTCCTTTTGTTCAAACTGGAAGGATGTGAGGCTAAAGACCACAAGAGAGGAAGTGTCAGGCAGGACAAAACAAGGCAGGAATGAGGGTGGATCATTAATTGTTATTTAGAGGAGGAGGGGGGCGGGGGGACAGTTGAAAAAAACCAGCCAGAGTTTTCCCTAGGGAAAAAAAAATGCCAAAACTGAGGCTGTCATACTTTAGGTACATTGTGAGAAGGCAAAACTCCCTGGAAAAGACAATTAGGCTAGGGAAAATCACAGACAGAAGAATAAAAGAAGGACTAAATATAAGATGGATGGAAGCCACAGCTCTGAATTTACAAGAGCTGAGCAAGGATGTAATGGAAAGGACATTTGGATGGCTTTCATTCATAGAGTTGCTATAAGTCAGAGATAACTTGACAGCACATGACAACATCTTATGTGTGGGTTTCTGGTGGAGCATTTCCTCATTGTTTTGAGTTCATTGCTTGCTTCCATATCCCATAAAATGAGGGCATCACTGCTGGCACAGTCCCTGATTGTTGGACTGTGGCAACATTTCCATAGGAATGTTTTTGTGATTTGGTATTTATCCTTAGGGGCTGAGTAGGCCTAGAATATGGCTACAATTGACAACATATCACTAGACTGGTTGCCAAATATGCATAGGCTAATAGCCTTAGCCTAGGAGACTAAATAGAAACTAACTTTGCCTAGATGAAGAACTGTGGCTATACATGCTGCATTCAGTGAAATCAATCAGATCCCTGCTTTCACTTGTTCTACCCTTGTTCTGTGAGTGCATGAGAAACCAAGAGACTCTCTTTGAGAAAGGAACTAAGATTGCCCTTTTGCATCTGAACTTATGACAACGCTCTACATGGTATGCTTCTGACGCATATTGACCATTTCAAGCAGCTGAAGAATAGACCCCTTTGTTCATCAACAAAGATGAGTTCGGCACTGGCAACAGCTGTGCAGACTCCTCCCAAACTTCCTGTCTGTTGCTGCTTCCTATCCTGATTTCATGGGAATTCAGGCAAGGGACAATAATTGCAATTTGATATGCCTTAAAAGCTGACACCAACATTCAAATATA